GGGGGGCCCAGCGCCGATCCAATGAATCCGCGCGGACTCCGAGTTTGTTTATGTCAATGCTTGTTCAAAAGAGCTCCTGACAGTATTTCGAATTTCATAATACAGGGGGGCTAGTCAGATTTTGGGGGGGTCTGATTTGAGCTGTCAAGGAGGTGTTCTGGGTGTCTGGGCAAAAGGCCGCCCTTTCGTGGCTGGTCTGGGGGCCCTAGATCTGCTCGCCTGGGAGGGTGGTGACCCCCCTCCTTTTTATGATGAGCAGAGGATTCGTCTTTCCTTGCGGGAGCGAGCTGCGAAGAGGCGTGCCAGAGAGGGCGCCGTGGACCGAGCCGCGGGCCCGGCCGCACCCGTCCGCCTCGGGACGGCCTCCGGTGCGCGCCACCGAGGGGACGTCTCCGACCGTTGCGGTGGCTCGCCGTCGTCGTCGTCGTCGTCGTCGTCGTCGTGATGGCCGTCGTCGTCGTGTGCCAGCCGTCGTCGTCGGGGCCAGCCTCAAAATATATCCGTATCCATGGCCCTTTGGAGTCCCAGGGCGTCGTTCCACAGTGGGTGGATATGGAGGTATGGAGATATCCCAGCCTCGCATTTTTCTGCCTGTCGGGGTCCTCAGCGGGCCCAGGGACCGTCAAAAAACAGCTCAGGATGAAAAGCCAGTGCTGAGGCAAGGGTCCAGATCTCCGAAAGAGCGTGTTCTACCGCTGCTGGCGGAAAACCGGGGGGGGTCACTACCGGTTCGAACCCCTCCCCCCCCCCCTCCGGAAAACCGGGGGGGGTCACTACCGGTTCGAACCCCTCCCCCCCCCCCCCACTCGGTTCGGAAAACTAAACCCCCCCCCTCGAAAACCGAGTGGGGGTGCGGACAGTGGTGGGGACGGTGTTGGTGGGGACAGTGGTGAGGGGATAGCGGGACAGTGGTGGGGACAGTGGGACAGTGGGACAGTGGTGGGGACGGTAGTGGTGGGGACAGTGGTGGGGACAATGGTGGGAACAGGGGGGGACAGTGGACAGTGGTGGTGACGGTGGTGGTGGGGACAGTGGTGTGGGGACAATGGGAATGAGGTGGAAACAGTGGGACAGTGGAGGGTACAATGGTGGTGGGGACAGTGGTGAAGGCGGTGGCGAGGACGGCGGTGGGACAATGGGACAGAGGTACAGTGGGGACAGTGGTGGGGACAGTGGGGACAGTGGTGGGAACAGTGGGACAGCTCAGTGGGACAGCGGAGGAGTCAGTGGGACAGTGGGGACAGTGGGGATAGTCGGGCAGTGGTTGGGGCCGTGGAGACAGTGGGGAGAGTGGAACCGTGGTGGGAACAGTTCTGGGGACAGCGGGGACAGTGCGACAGTGGTGGGGCCACTGGTGGGGACAGTAGGGGCGGTGGTGGAACCAGTGGGGACAGCGGTGGTGAGGACAGTGGTGCTGGGAACACCAGTGGGGGATGTGATGCGGACGGTGGTGGGGACCGGGAGTCGTTTGCTGGCGGTGAGTAGGGGGGGGGGGGGGGGGGGAAGGGGGGGTGCGAACCGGTAGTGGCCCCCTCCGGTTTTCCGGATCCGGGGGGGGGGGGGGGGGGGGGAGGGGTTCGAACCGGTAGTGACCCCCCCCGGTTTTCGAGCGGGAGGGGGGGGGGGGGGGGAGGGGTTAGGGGAGGGGGGTTTTTGCCGGGGGGGGGGGGGGGGGGGGGGGGGGAGGGGTTCCAGCAGGGGGGGGGGGATTTTCGGAGGGGGGGGGGGGGCGACCCCCGGGTTCCAGAGGAAAAGGTTGGCAATTTTCCACAGTAAAGCGGCGGTGGATCACGCTCTCTCAGATCTCCGGGGAGCCACGTTGTGAAAACAAGTCATTGATCCGCGGCGAGCTGGGTCCAGCAGGCTGTCGGCTAGCGGCGGGGCGCGTCGAGACCGCATCAGCGCCGCGAGACGGTTGGAGCGCCCTCAGAACGTGAGATGGTTCGGGATGCGCCGTGGTCAGCCTCCGGGGTGAGGAACACGAGTCGCCGGAGGCCCCAAACGATTCCGTTAGGGGGAACGGCCACACATGTCGCCAGAGCGCATTCCACGGATCGGAGCCACAAGCGACGAGGGTCAACAAGTGGTATGGACCTTTCAAGTCATGCTATGACGGCCAGGGTCACTGCTGGCAGCTGGCATCGATGAAGGGACAGACCATGGTTGGTCAGGCAACCAGCATAATGACTGTGTGTGCGCGACTCGCCGACCAAGGAGGTGGTCACGACACAAAGTGAGCGTGGCATGATCTTGAATGAAGGTTGCGTCATGTTCAACATAAGCTGCAGTGTGGTGCTGAGCCGAGCCGTGCAGCGCCGGTGCAGCGGTTGTGAAAAGACAGCACTACGTCGGATGTCTGACATTGGCTCGGCGTGCTAGCGTGCCCGCCTGCCCGTGCGCTCTGCGAGCAAGGAAAGATACCGATACCGATGCCGATGCTTTTCCGTCGTGTTGGCCTGTTTGGGCCTCCTGGGATGCTTTCGGAATCCTTGTCAGACCGCATCCCCGGGAGAGGTTCGCCCTCCCCCCCCCAGCCTGCTCTTTCGTTTGCTGTCTTGCTGTCTTGCTTCCTCGCGCTTGCGCTTGCGGGCGTGCATGCTTCATTGCGTTCGTTTGCCAGCCCTATTGCTCGCCTGCGTCCGTCTTGTCCGCATTCGTGTGTACGCTGTTGTTCGTTAGTTTGTTTACCTTTATGCTCGTCCCCTTCAGTCGTTAACTTGATCGTGTGCTTGCTCGCGTCTCTGCTTCCTTGCTGTTGCCTTCGCTTGTTCGCTTGCCCTCGCATTGCTAGCTCGCGAATTCAGTTGCGTTTCAACAACGGGTTGTTTTATTTCTTACGTGGAATATGGTTGTTGGGCACAGCAGTTGCTGTTTTTGTTGAGTATCCAGTTGCTATCAGTTGCATGTGGTTGTTGACGTTTGTTTGACGTCCTATGTGTGGTCGGCGCTCGTAGACACTGGCAATATACAGAGACCAGGAGGGAGCGGAGGATAGGGAAGAGGAGGCTGAGGGAGCTGGACGAAGGGTTCTGGAGACCTCGCAGAATTTCAGACATTTCTGGATACCCCACGTCCGCAGAAGGGCAATTCACAACCACATTGTGGTGTTGGGCCGTCGATTTCTACAGGCATCCTGTGGTGTTCGTTCCTCGTTTTGAAATTGCAGCGCCCCGCGTCACTCCTCTTTCCCCTCTTTCCTCCTTCCTGCCGCTGCCCTCCGCATGTTTCTACTACGGCACGCCTCTCACACCTCACTCGCCTCGTGGCCCCATAGGGAGCTCCAGGGAGGGTCCAAGTGGCAATGCCCGCACGCCTACGTCCACCCTGGTACACGCTTCGCGCGTCTCGTGACCCCGTTACAGGAGCTTCACCGACGGCCGCCGTGGCAACGTACGCATGTGTGACCACGCCCATTCCCGCACACCCCTCACGTGTTTCGGGGCCCAAGGAGAGTTCCGCAGAAGACCCACTCAGGCACGCCCTTCTCACGTATCATGTGCCTCATAAGGAGCACAAGCGTCAGAGTCCACATGCTTGATCACGCCCGGTTTGGAACGCCCCGTCACCTGTTTCGTGGCCCAATCTGAGCTCCACCGAAGACCTAAGTGGCAAAGTCCGCATGCCTGAGAGTGCCCATTCTGTAACACCCGAAATACGTTTCTTGGCCCCATGAGAGCTCCACAGAAGGCCCAAGAGGTAAAGTCAGCATGCGTGCCTACGCCCATTTAGGCGCCCCATTCACACGTTCCGTAGCCCTACAGGAGTTCCACAGGGCTCAGGGGGCAAGTCCGCACGCCTAACCACACCCATTCTGGCACAGCCCTCATACTTTTCATGCCAGCTTTACAGAGGTCCAAGCTGCAGAGTCCGCATGCTTGACCCCGCCCCAGTCTGGCACACCCCTGGCACGATTTGTGGTCGCATAGAGGCCCCACATGGCCCACGTGTCTTCAGCGTTTCTTGACAGGCTCTTGGGGGATGCTGGAGTCAGTGTGGGTGGGCCTGCCTTTCCAAGGACCTCCACAAAACAGCAGAAGCACGAAGATATGTCCAGGAGTTCTGGCAAATTGGTGGCCTGGGCATGTCAGGATACTACCACTCCTCTAATGACAATCGCACCTGCATGAGTTTTGGAGCACTCCACTACGTGGTGAAGGCACAGTGGTGGACGCGCACACTCAGCTCTAATCTTCAGCCTGGTAGGGCGGCTTGGATATGCTGGCTCGCTGCGTACGGTGTAAAGCTCGTGTTCACGGTGCCCGTTTTGGAAGCTTCCGAAACAGGGTTTTGAATGCTCAACGCTTCTTGGTGTCTTGGAGGCATCTTGGAGGCTGGATGGCCTCGAAGGTGGCCATTCTGGCTCAGGATTATAAACAGCCAAGGGGGCTTCACGGTGGCCAAGGCGGTCCCAAATACCCTCCAAGTCGTCTCTGGCCCCCGGACGGCCGAAGGAGGCCCCGAGAAAACCCCAGATGCCCTCAAGACGGCCCCGAACCCATCCATTATCGCAGCATCCAGTCAGAAATCACTGTCGTCTAAAAGACGTTCATCCAACGCTGGCCCTGACTCCCTTCTTCCTCTTCGTCTTCCTATTTCTCCTGCTCCTCCTCCTCCTCCTCCTCCTCCTCCTCCTCCTCCTCCTCCTGTGGCCCGGTATTTCGGATCGGTCTTGGCATGGGCATGGAAGGTTTTGTCCGCAGTTAGCCGACATGTAGCCAGCCGCTGCAACTCTTGGCTGTGCCCCACTCTCTGCCTCCGTGAACCTCGATGCTCCACGGCACAACGTATCGCAGCGAAAACGCCCTGCACTTGTCCTGACCTTGCTATGTAGCCAGCGTGCTCTGGGTCAATCCGTCGATTCGAGTAGGCGCGCGTCCCTTACCCGAGTTGAAAGAACGAACCAATCATTCCTCATCTCTGTGTCCTCTCCGTAGCCGTTTGGGCTCAAGCAAGCATCTACTTCTTGTGCCAGTCTCTACGCACCTGTAGGTGATGCCAGCATGCAGGCGGCACGGCCAACCTTGCAGGAGACATTGACGCGGTATGGCAAAGTGGGTCTTGGCGTACACATCTGCCTCTCCACAGTCTCCTTCGCAGGATGCTACACAGCAGTCCGCTTTCAGCTGCCCGTGGACTTGCTGCTTGAGCGCTTTGGCCTGAGCTCCAGAACATCTGGCACCGAGCCTGCAGCGGGAGTTGGTGTTACCGAGGGAAAGGAGGACAGTGTTGCAGTGTCAGGGGCTGCCTCAGCTGGAAGCACTGCAGTTGTGGCCTATGTTGTGTACAAGGCTTTGCTGCCAGTGCGAGCATCGATCACCGTGGCGCTGACTCCTTTGGTGGCACGAACCTTGACAAGGTTGAGGCCACGCTGACCGGTGGCCGATTGGCATCTCGTACCGCTTCTGGGGGGCGGAGATTTGCAAGGCTGCCTTGGTTTCCGTCTGGCAGCAGGGCTCTTGGGCCAGCCATTAGATGTGGGCCGATTGCTGCGTCATCATTGTTGCGAGGGAGCCAGCGACGGAGGGCCTTCATGTTTCGATGAAGTTTCAAGCATGTGTGTACGGAGCGTGAATAATCTGGTCTGGTACGCGGAATAATACAGGAGCATCGTTGCACCTTTCGGGAAGGAGTTCGAATAATCCTCCGTTCGCAGTGTGTGTGTGTGTGTATGTTTGTCTTTTTTCTGTGTGTATGTGCGTGTGTGTGTGTGTGTGTGTGTCAGTTTGTGTGTTCATGTCTGTGTGTATGTTTGTCAGTGTGTCAGTGTGTCTGTGTGTATGGTGTGTGTGTGTGGTGTGTGGTGTGTGTCTCTGGGTTTCTGTGTGTGTGTGTGTGTGTGTTGTGTCTGTGTGCTCGTGTATTTGTGCGTGTGCTTTTGTGTGTGTGTGTGTCCCTCCTCCTCCTCCCGCCCCTCCTCCCCATCCGTCCCTCCTTCCCTCATCCTCCGTCCCTGCCCCTCTCTGCCTCCTTCCTGCTCCTTCCCCCTCTCTCTATCCCTCCCCCCCCCTCCTCCCCCGTCCCTCCCGGCCCCCCCCTCCAGACTCCGCCACTCTGCCGTCGCTAGCGCCCCTCCACCCTCGCGGAAGGTATCCCGCCATGGTCGCCAGGGTGCTTGCGGAGTGGGAGCGACGCCGCGCCCCCCGCGCCTTGCTGCTCCTCGGGACGGGGGGACGGGGAGGCGGGGGACGGGGAGGAGGAAGGAGACGGGGGGAGGTGGAAGGAGGAGGGATGGAGGAGGAGGAGGAGGAGGAGGAGGAGGAGGAGGAGGAGGAGGAGGAGGAGGAGGAGGAAGGAGGAGGAGGAGGAGGAGGAGGAGGAGGAGGAGGAGGAGGAGGATGGGAGGAGGAGGAGGAGGAGGAGAGGAGGAGGAGGAGGGAGGAGGAGGAGGAGGAGGAGGAGGAGGAGGAGGAGGAGGAGGAGGAGGAGGGAGGGGGAAAGGAGGAGGAGGAGGCGGCGGAACGAGGAGGAGAAGGAGGTGGACGAAGAAGGAAGAGGGAGGACGTGTGACGACGCGGAGGAGTTGGAAGCAGGAGGAGGTCGACGAGGAGGACGAGGAGGAGGAGAATGAGGCGTGAGGAGGAGGAGGAGGATCAGAAGAGGACGAGTTGGGTCAATGGTAGTCGGCCTTAGGGGGCGCCCTCGTCGCAACGTCTGGACGCAGCTCGGAAAACTGATGCGTCTTGACCCTAGGGAGGGTTCCGGGGACCGATGCCGAGCTCCCGTTATCTACAACCGCACTGGTCCGAGATGATGGAAAAATGAGCAGGATGAGGATGAGGAGGAGGAGGAGGTGGAAGGAGGATGTGGGATGATACGAGGAGGTGGAAAAAGGAGGGGGAGGAGTCTGGGAGGAGGAGGAGGAGGAGGAAGAGGAGGAGGAGGAGGAGGAGGAGGAGGAGGAGGAGGAGGAGAAGGTTGTCGTTCGCCGATCTCCTCGACCTGCTGCGCGACTGTTCTGTTACCTTGCGGGCTTTCTTCAATCGCTTCGTCCTTCCCGCTTGCCGATCTTGTAGCATCGTCGGCGCGTGATTGCGTGCTCGCGGGGGCACTTTGGGGCCTCGTCAGACTAATCCATGCATTTGTTGTGAAAGCGTTGGCTGTTAGCCGTGTGGCGGCGATGACTTGCAATCGAGCAGGACTCCCTTGAATATTATACCACTCCGCGTGCGGCGATGAAGGGGCGTCACTGGGGTTCGCTTGGAAACGACGGCGTGTTCAAGCCAAAAACACTGTGGATCGAACCATGGTGGATACGGATTTCACCCCTACGATGTTTTCAAATTCTCGGCCGAGGGCGCAGACTCCGAAAGCAGAAACCTTCCCTTCGCAGGGCAGAGGGCTCGAAATCTAAGTTCGGGTTCCCCCTCTTGGCCCCCGCATGGGGGCCTCTTGGGGGCCTCTTGGGGGCCTCTTGGGGGCCTCTTGGGCTGTATATTGCGGCCCTCTTGGGCCGTTTTTGGGCCCTCTTGGAAATTCGGGCCGAACGAAAGGGGGGATCGGGAAAGGGGGGGTTACGAAATCTGCTGCATGCAGCTGGTTTCGGCCCCGCCGCCGGGCCCATTCCTCGATACATGGGCGCCTCCCGGCGCCGGGAGGCGCTGGGAAAATCAGCTGCGTGAGCTGATTCTCTACCCTACCCTCTGCTATCCCCCCTTTCGTTCCCCCCGAGTTGGTTTGGGGCGATCCTGAGTGCAACTTGGGCCGTCTTCGAGTCGCAAGGCCGGACAGGCGAGAACGCTGAAACCCGTGAAAATCGTACGGACAACGCTTGCTGGCATGAACCCCAAACAATGAGTTGTCGCAGTCTGGTGGTGGAAGCTATGTGGCGGGAAGTCTGTGGTTGATGGTGTGTGGTGGAAGCTGTGTGGTGAAAGTTACGTGGTGAAAGCTTTGTAGTGGAAAGTAGGCTGCCGCTCGCCAGAAGGTGAAAGGGCATCCTGGCGACACTGCCACCCAAGCGACAAAGGAAAGGGCGGCAAGGGTCCAGAAGGCGGCGGATCCTCGACGCTGTCACCCAAGTTTCTATGACCAGCAACGGGCGGGAACGGCCCGGAACCTTGCGCATCCTGCCGACGCTGCCACCGAAGCTTCAATGTCGCAGTTGGCACCGACACCAAGATCGGCGGTATGCCTCCACCGAGGGAAGACGATCCCGATCTCGGTGATGGTGGCAATACTCTGGCTTCCGAGGGGACCGAAACATTACCACCGACATCGAAATCTAGGATCAGATTCCCCATGTGGACGCAACCCCCTGTGCTGGTGTTGGTGCCAATCTCCAGGCCTCCAGCAATTGCCACGCACCCGCACAGGCGGCCACGGGCGGCAACGGGCCGGAACGCTTAGCGCAGCCTCGACGCACCCAGCCAAGCGGCAACGGGCCGGAACGCGGTGACTCGTCGACGCACGCACCCAAGCGGCCACGGGCTTCAACGGACGACAGCGTGCGGGAGTCGTTCGACGAACCCACACGAGCGGCAACGGGCGGCGACTGGCGGCAGAGGGATCACGCCACGAGCTTGGACTGCGCCACCGGTGTGCGAGACCGAGTACCAGCCAGCACGTACGGGTTCAGCAGCCAGCATCACCTACGAGGAGCACGGCGACAAGCTGCACTTGACGGAGGGCATGATCGCATGTGGAGATGGAAGCGGAGGAGAACACGGAGGCGATGCACGGTACAGGAGATACGGTTGGAGCTGGGCCATCATGCAGAAAAATTGGGGATTTGGCAGGGGGCGGCAACCGTACATGGACCACTACCAGGAGCCCGCCAGTCCAACAACAGGGCGGATATCACAGCGTGTCTGGACTGCTTGCAGTCGACGGAGGGCGACCTGATCTTCTACACTGATTCGGAGATCCTCTGCAAGGGCTGGCACAGCAGGAGGTACCTAACCACAGGCTACATTAAAGCGCACGGGGACCTCTGGAATAATATCAGACAGCGACTGGAGTCACGAGGAGACGCCGAGGTACGAGTTCGCCACATAGAGAGCCACATGACGGTCGAGCAAGAACAAGATCGAGGAGTACCGTTGGAGGCGTGGACAAGCAACCAGAGGGCGGACACCCTGGCAGGCGAGGCGGCGGCGATGCACGAGATACCACAGGTGCAGATGGGCTGCTACGATGGACCAGGGCGACATCTCACAGGGTCAGAGCGCGCATTGGCCAAGCCTACAAGGAGCAGCTCGAGCGGACCAAGCCCATGACATGGGAGGAGAAGACAGAGGCGAAGCTCAGGAGCAAGCAGTCGCAGACAGAGATCGAGTCCTTCAAGAACATGCTGGAGAACACCCCGCACTTGTTGAAGTCAGAGGGGAGAACATGGAGGTGCTCACGCTGCAGGGAGTCGATTGGGAGGCACCAGTTATCCAGGGCGACGAGGTGGTGGCTTAGGAGATGCAAGCGAGAAGCGGACGCTCAAGCAGAACGATAGGAAGCAGCAAATCGGGGCCTGGTCCTCAAGGGCAAAATCTCCCACGCGTCGCACGCGATCTGCTGGTCAAGCCACAAGGAACGCTACTTTTGCTGGAGTTGCGGAGCCACGGCGGAGAAGCACCTCAGCTACAAGATGGTGAAGGAGTGCGATGGATGGCCAGCGGGACAGGCATCACGTTACGCCCTCAAGTCGCTCAGGACAAAGAAGAATTGGATGCCAGGCGCGGGAACGAGATGGAGCAAGAGCACCAAGGCAAAGCTCACGAAGTCCGAGACGACGGGAGCTGCGAGAAGGACGGCTGCGGCACCTGCGAGCCGTACTTATGAGCGGGAGGTTGCCGCCTGCCGCTCCAGACAGTCGTTGGCGGTTAATAAATTTCGGGGGAAATAATTAATTGACCGTGTCGGACCCTCTTTGGCTCTCCTTCAGGTCCCGTGGAGCGCTCCTGGAGTGTTCTTGGGGGCCGTGACGGCTGCGCCCAGGTCGAAAACCATCTCTTACCCGGGTCCAGCGCGCTAAGCCCGTGGTACTCTTCATCCAGGACCCCCCATGGGCCGCCCCGCGTGTGTGATCTGAGAATATATACAAACATGCAGAACCTTTTTACCAGAGATCTTAGCGCGCCTTTGGCGCGTTGGGCCGGCGAGCGAATCGTTGCACCACTCCTATGTGCACCTATTTTCGCCAGCGGCGTGCACTCATGATATGTTTTGCATCTGCCCCATGAGAGGAGCTCAGAAATCCGACGTCCGTTTTCCTTTGGCCCCTGGAGGTCTCGACACCTTCCAGGGGGGGTCAGCGTTTCGCCCCGGTTTTCCGTCTCGGTGCCGAAGCAGTTCTTCAACGCCGAAAGTGACAACATACATCAGATACGTATGTTGTTCCAAGACGTTGAAGGAGTGGGGTACCCCTCTTTCAATACATATCCCCCGACCAAACCCAGCAGCGGGCGGGCAGCAAGTTCGAGCCGAAAGCAGCCGTGGCGAAGAACAGGTTCTTGTAGGCGCGAACAGGTTGCTCCAACAAAACGCTTCTCCTCAGCCTCCTTTTTCATCCTTGAAGGAAATGCCTCGACTTGTTACGCGTTGAGTCTGTACCTGGCGGACAGAAGAGGACAGCCCAGTGAGACGACGCGGTCAGGGAGGGGAGAGGGCAGAGAAGGGAGAGCATCAAGCAAACCCACGGTGGAGGGGCGGGGGCAGGGGCGTTCCGACCACCCCAGTCCCCCGTCCCTCTACCGTGGGTTTGCCCGAGTGGTTTTGGAACGAAGTCCCAGATGCCGATTTTCTGTCCAATTCCTCTCGAACCCATTCGTGGGCCAGCTCGCTGCCCCAGCGCCCTTCCAGCCCCCTTCAGACCCAACCATTAGTTTTCGTGATTTGGACTAGGTGGTCGTCCTCGGTGGTCGGGGGGGGTCCTCTGCAGGGCGGTCAAATCTGATCTTGCCACCGTTGGTCCTGGCCCACGGCGTCTTCAGTTTTCCATCTGTTCTAAGGCCCCCTTCTGGGCCTCGTGGGGTGTGCTCTGGAGCAGGGCTGGACGTAGACGCTGTTTTGCTGGATTGCGACCGTGTTTTGTTTTTCGTTTTGGCGGGGAGGTACAGGAAGACATGTAAAGCAAAACGAACAACAAACACAACACGAAACACAATTTTCAGGCCCAGCCCTGCTCTGGAGGCCACATGGGCCTCCCAGGAAATCCTGGGGACACCTTGGGTCGGGCGTTGCGTAGTTGGGGGGGGGGGCGATGAATCGGGTCGGCGGCGACGGATGGATGGAAGTGAGAAGGAAAAGGATTTCTCAGAAGGCGGCGGGGCTTCTCTGAAGGCCTCCAGCCTTCTGAGAGGTTCTCTGAGTCTTCGGGGAAGGCTTAGAAGACTTCTCTGGAGGCGCGAGGGCTTCTGAGAAGCCCGGCTGCCTTCTGAGAAGGCCTCGTCCTTTTCATTTCCCCCCATCTATCGCTGCCGCTTGGAGGGGATCGACGGCTGCAGGAGAGGAGCCCCAACGTAGCCCCAGAGGGGCCCCCCTGGGGGCCCGAAGATACTCGGAAGCTCGCTGGCGCCAGGTCGCGCAGGACGGTCAGGCGCCGGTCACAGCAGGCGGTCGGGTGCACCGCAGGGCGAATGGAGGCACGTGGGCGAGAGAGAGAAACGAGCGCGAGAAGAGAAAGACATGCCCCGAAGGTACGGTCGAGACGCCAAAAGAAGGACCGCCTTGGGCTCCGGAGGGGCTCGGGTTTTCGGGCCGCGCCTTAGAGTCATGTCGTGGAGCGTGTCTGTGGCCCAGGCCCGCCGTGGGCCGGAAGGCTCCTTCGTTCCTCATTGTGCGTTTCTCTTTGTAGCACGTTCGATCTTGCTCTCGGCGTCGGCGTGAGGTCTGGACCCCCTCCCGGGGAACCCCCTCTTGCAGTCCCCCCTCTCGGCGGCGCGCCCGGGGGAAGTGGGAAGGAGAAGGCCTCCTCGGAAGGTTCGGAAGTCCTCCGGCCTTCCGAGGAGTCTTCTGGGCCTTCCCCGCAGGCACTTCTGAGATGCCCCGCCGCCCTCCGAGAGGGCCTCCTCCTTCTCGCGCCCGCCGCCGACCTTCGGGGCGCCGCCGGCCCACACTCGGGCCCCGGACACGCTCCGGTCTCATTGCCTCCAGCCCCCCGCGGCCGATCCCTGGTCGTTCATCGGGAGGGAAAAGACACACAGACACAATGAATCGTCGATTCCCCAGAAAATATGGGGAAATACGGGAAGTGGGGGGGAAGACAAAAACCCAGAAAATATGGGAAGATCTGGGGAATCTTTTTATTTGTGTGCATTTATTTGTGTGTCCCAGGGCCCCTTCAGTTCAATCCGCCCGGTCTCGCCGCGCCGCCCGTGGACCGCGCGCCCTTCGCGGCCCACCCCGCCCACCGAGCACGCTTGGCGCAGCGCGGCGCAGCTGCTGCGGCGCTGCCGCTCGGCTGTTCCAGGTCCCAGTGGAGAGAGCCCTTCAGGGGCCGAAGACAGCCGGGCGGGTGGCAATCTCCTCCTCCTCCTTCTCGTCCTCCTCCTCCTGCTTCTCATCTTCCTTCTCCTCCTCCTCCTCCTCCTCCTCCTCCTCCTCCTCCTCCCCCCTCCTCCTGGCATGGGTCTCCGCTGTGCTCTCTCCGCCCCCTCGGGGGCCACCTCGACCCTCAGTCGCCCAGTCCTTCGTCGCCGACGGGGGGCCTGCGTGCCCCCCCCCGATCGGGGGTGACCTGAATTCACCGAGCGCGTTCCACCGTTCGCAAGGTGCCTAGTCGCAGTCGTACGAAGAAAAAACACGCGTTCGCCTCGATGTGATGCATCGTGAGTCCCACGCGGCGGATCCAGGGCCATTGTGAGCAGTTGCTTTGCGAGTACCTTCATGCCAATTCAGTCGTACCCCCCGGTCGCCTGGATGCCAATTCAGTCGTACGGTCAGGATCGAGGCGCGCCTGTGGCCAGACATGCCCATTCGTGTTTCATTCAGCGTGCGGGGGGTTAGCACTTGGCACAAGATGTTCAGCGTGCGGTGCCGGATTCCGCACTTGCCACTCCTGCGTGTGCGGCCTGAGGGTTCGTCGTAGGAACACATGGGGCCCGAGAAAATCGGTCTAGTGGGGGGGGCAGGGCAAATTCGTTCAACATCTGTCCTCAGACCCTTCCCGGGGGTCGAAACCGACTCCTGTTTTGATCCGCGTCCAGACGTTGCGACGAGGGGGCCAGAGCTGGGCCAATTCAGCACCCCCAGCTGGCTCCCAACTCCGCGCTCCCCACGGTGGCACGATGGCTGCCTGTCCTGCCCCCCCCCCCGCCCAGCGTAGCGCCAGGACGCCCCCCCGCCCGGGGTACCGGCCGCGCCTGCAACGGGGCCCCCGCCGCCCGCGGGGCCCGAGGCGGCGGCTCTTTGGACCCCCCGTGGTCTCGAATGTCGTCGCCGTCGTCGCCGTCGTCTTCTGCATCGTCGCCAGGATCGCCTCCTGCGTCGTCGTCGGCGGCGGCGCCCTCGTCGTCGTCTTGTGGACCGTCGTCGCCATCGTCGTCGCCGTCGTCGTCGACGTCTTCAGTGTCGTCTTCGTCGTCGTCGCGGTTGTTGTTTTGATTGTTGTTGTCGTCTTCTATGTCGTCGTTCTTCTGAATCGTCGTGCTCATTAGCCGTGTGGCGCGCTGTGTACACGCAGTCTCCGCAGGGGTGGACAGGTGGCCGTGTGCACGATACGCCTCCTGTCGAGCGCAGTAGTGGCAGAATGAGGGGGGGCTCCGTCCACCCCTTCCTCCTCTCTTAGTTCAGGAGCAGCGTTAGGGGGGAATTTGACCAGCCCGAAACATATCCCTGTCTTGCTGATGGGCATCGCCTGCTCGCGATGCCGATCTTAACGGTTACCTCGGTTTCTGAGGACGTATCCTTGAGACGATTGTCGTCGCCGCTTGGATTGCCAGTCTTAGGGAGAGGGATCAGTTCGAGGCTGGTCAGGAATAGGCTCAGGGGAGGGGATGAGCAGGGAGAAGGAGCTGGGAGGAGGAGGAGGAGGAGGAGGAGGAGGAGGAGGAGGGAGGAGCAGGGAGGGGCGGAGCTGCCGGTTGCCCAGGAACTATTGCCCCACACGCGGTTGCCAGCGCACGCGAAAAACATGCACCCGGCGCCCACAGGGGTGTCGACGCCTCGTTTCATGTGTGCGTCGGAGCTTGCAAGGCGGGCCTGGAGAGGATCCTTCGGGGAGTGGTTCGAAGGAGCCCGGAGAGGGTCTTCTGGGGCGTGCTCGAGTGCTGGGGATTAGGGTATAGGGTGCGAGGTCTGTGGGTTAGGGTGCATGGGTTAGGGTCTAGGGTGCATGGACCAGGTTGTAGGGTGTGGTTTCGGGTTCAATGTGCACCGATTGGGGTGTAGGGTGAAGGGGGTACGGTTTAGGGCGCATGGGTTGTAGGATTCGTGGATCAGGGTTCAGTTTGCGTGGATCAGGGTTAAGGGTGCGTGGTTAAGGGCTTAGGTTGCGCGGGTTAGGGCTGGGGCAACAAGAGCTTGCGTGCATCAATCCCTCTCGTCCCAAACCCTTCCCACAAGATCGCCCTCTTCAGCAATCTGAACGCGTCAACGCGATCTGAATTCATCTGTTCCTTGAAGCCTCCTGCAGCGACGAGGGTGATGAACATGAGGATTTGGATGTTGTTACTGCTGCTGGCGACGGCGAGCCTGGGAGCGCTGCGTGAGCAATTGGAGCATCTGGGGGTGCCTGGGAGCGTCTTGGAACGCGCGGGATCGCCTGACGCAGCCTGGGGAGCGCTTGGGTCCAAAATCGGAGTCGGCAAGGGGTGCCCGAAACGTACAGATTTATCGCAGACGCCTACGACGAATCACCGCCGCCCCCTGCCTTTTCGGAAGCGCCTGCGTGGCCGAAGGTTGGGTTTGAGCTTGGCCAAGCTATCGGGCCACGCGTTCCCCGAGTGGGTTTCGAAAGCCTTCGGGGAACACGGAGTCGGGCGAGCTATCGGACCAGGTGGTTTCCGAGCTGTCGAGCCTTCCTGGAGGACGTCTTGGAGGACCCTTGCGCCGTCTTGGAGGCCTCTTGCGGGCCTTTTGGGTCGTCGAAGGCCATCTTGAGGCCATCTGGGGCCGTCTTGGGTGCATCTTGGGGCCTTCTTCGCTGTCTTGAAGGCCTTATTGGCCGTCTTGGGGGCATCTTGGAGGCCACCTTGGCCGTCTTGGAGGCCATCTTCGGCGTCTTCGGGGCCATCTTGGGCCGTCGTGGGCTCTTCTTGGGGCCCTCTTGGGGGCCTCTTGGGTTGTCATGGCGCCATCTTGGAGGCCTTTCGAGCGCTCTTGGGACGATGTTGGGGGCCTCTTGGGCCGTCTTGGGCCGCCGGAACCTGATAAGAAGAACATGCCAGCATCCTTCAAAAACCTAAGGACAAACAATGATTTTTGCCTTTTTCGGGCCTTCCTGGAGGACGTCTTGGAGGCCTATTGGGGGCCCCTTGGCCAGTCGTGAGCCATCCTGGAACCGTCTTGGACGGTCTTGGAAGCCATCTTGGACCAGCTTGGGCGGACTTGGAAGCGATGGCGTGCCCGTCTTAGAGGCCTCTTTGGCAGTCTTGGGACCCTCTTGGGGCCCGGCTTGGGGGGCCTCTTGGACCGTTCCGGGAGCTATCTTGGAGGCCTCTGGACCGATGCTGGGGAGTCCTTGGGCCGTCTTGGGCGGTCGGAACACCAAAACGGCGGAAAAGCAAATATCCTCCAACCACGTATGAAAAACCAATGATGTTGGCTCCAGCGGGCCTTCCTGGAGAACCTCTTCGATTCCTCTGGGACCATCTGGGAAGCCTCTCGGGCCCATCTTGGGCCATCTTGGCCGTCTTGGCAGGCATCTTGGCCGTCATGGAGGTCATCTTGTCCGTCTTGGAGGCATCTTGGAGGTTGTCTTGCCCGTCTTGGAGGCCATCTTGGGCGTCTTGGAGGCCTTTTGGGCCGTCTTGGGGCCCTCTTGGGACCGTCTTGGAGGCCTCTTGGGCCGTCATAGGGCCATCTTGGAGGCCTCTTGGGCGCCCTGGGTGTGATCTTTCGGCCCTCTGGAGCCGTCGTGGGCCGTCGGACGGCTGGAAAAGGCGCACATGCCAAAATCCTTTCAAAACCCAAGGAACACCATGAATGATGGCCTCTTCGGGCCCTCGTGGACGTCATCTTGGAGACCTCGTGGGCCGTCTTGATGGCCTCTTGGAGTCCTTTGGGGCCGTCTTGGTCCGTCTTAGAGGTTTCTTGTGCGAACTTGGAGCATCTTGGACTCTCGTGGACCGTCTTGGAGGCGATCTTGGACCATCGTGGGCGAACTTGGAGGCCATCTTGGCCATCTTGGAGGCCCTCTTGAAGCCGTCTGGAGCAGGAAAAACCTTCGCAACCACCTCTGGAAGAGTTTTTCGGGTGGACGGCGGGACGGGCCGAAGCCCCAGGGAGTTTTCTAAAGGAACCAACAAGCGAAAGGGTTCAACACGCTGGGCACCCCTGTGATGAAGCAACAGGGGGCGGCGGATCGAAGACGCCTACGGCGAATCACCGCCGCCCCCTGCCTTTTTAGGAAGTGCCTATGTGGCCAAACGTTTGGCCCTAGCTTGGCCAAGCTATCGGATTCTGTATTCCCCCAGCCGCTCTGGAAACTCGTAGGGGAACACTTGGGGGAGGATGCGGGGGAGGCTCAGGAGGGAGGAGGATGAGGACGGGGATGATGAGGAGCAGACATCTTGGGAGCCTCTTGGGCCACTCTTGTGGCCTCCTGGGAGCTTCCTGGGGGCCTCCTGGAGGCCTCGTGGGCGCCTCCTTGGGCCTCTTGGGTGCTTCTTGGGGGCTTCTTGGTGGCCTCTTTGGCCGTCTTATGGCGTTCTTGGCCCGTGTGACGCCGTCTGAAGCCGTCTTGGAGGCCTCTCTGGACCGACTTGGGCCCCCTGTGGGGCGCTTCAGGGCAGTCTTGGAGGCCATCTTGGGCGTCTTGGAGGCCTCTCAGGCCCTCTTGAGGCCCTCTTGGGGCCGCCTTGGGGGCTTCTTGGGCCGTCATGGGTTCATCCTGGAGGCCTTTGAGGCCATATTGAGGCGATCTGGGGGGCCTCCTGGGCCGTCTTGGACCGTCGGAGGGCCGAAAAAGAGCAAATGCCCAAATCCTTAAAAAACAAACTGGAAATTGATGAGTTTGATCTCATCGGGCCCTCCTGGAGGATCGCTTGGAGGCCTCTTGGGCCCTCTTGGAGGCCTCTTGGAGGCCGTCTTGGGCCGTCTTGGAGGCTTCTTGGGCGGACTTGGAGGCATCTTGGACCCTCTTGGGCAGTCTTAGAGGCCATCTTGGACCATCTTGGGCGATCTTGGAGGTCATCTTGGCCGTCTTGGAGGCCATCTTGGGCCATCTTGGAGCCATCTGAAGCAGGAACAACCTTTGCAACCACCTCGCCCGGAGCTTTCCGGGTGGCCGGCGCGCTGGGCCGAAGCCCCAGAAGGAGTTCTCCTGGAAAAACAAAAAAAATTTCAGACATTCAACACGCCAGGCACCCCTGTGGCAAGCCAGCAGGGGGCGGCGGATCGAAGACGCCTCGGCGAATCACCGCCGCCCCCTGCCTTTTTGGAAGCGCCTATGTGGCCGAACGTTGAGGCCAGACCTGCCAAGCTATCGGACCATGCGTTCCCCGAATCGGTTTGGAAAGCCTTCAGGGAACACGTGGGCATCTTGAAGGTCATCTTGGCCGTCTGGGGGCCATTTTGACCCTTTCTGGCCTTCTTGGAGGACGTCTTGGAGACCTCTTGGGCCGTCTTGGGGGCCTCTTGGGGCCGCGTCTTGGGCCTCTTGGGCGATCTTTGGGAGCACTTGGGCCGTCTCGGGCCGTCGGAAGGCAGGAAAAAAGCAAATGGCCACAATCCGTCAAAAACCCATAGGAAATCAATGATTTGGGCCTTTTCGGGCCTTCCTGGAGGCCCTCTTGAAGGCCTCTTGGGCCGTCTTGGGCCATCTTAGGGCCATGTTCGGCCGTCTTGGTGGGCTCCTGGTCTGTCTGACGCCGTCGGAAGCCGTATGGACCGACTTGGGGCCCTCTTGGAATGCTCCAGGGCCGTCTTGGAGGCCATCTTGGGCGTCTTGAAGGCCTCCTGTGCCGTCTTGGTGGCCTCTTCGGGCCGTCTTGGGGCCCTCTTGGGCCGTTCTGGGCCATCTTAGGGCCATGTTCGGCCGTCTTGGTGGGCTCCTGGTCCGTCTGACGCCGTCGGAAGCCGTATGGGCCGACTTGGGGCCCTCGTGGAATGCTCCAGGGCCGTCTTGGAGGCCATCTTGGGCGTCTTGAAGGCCTCCTGTGCCGTCTTGGTGGCCTCTTCGGGCCGTCTTGGGGCCCTCTTGGGCAGCTCTGGGGTCATCTTGTCGGCCCCTTGTGCGATCTTTCGGTGATCTTTGGTGGCTCTTGGGTCGTCTCGGGCCGTCGGAAGGCCGAAACGAAGCAAATGTCAAAATCCGTCAAAAACCATAGGAACATCAATGTTTTTGGCCTCTTCTGGCCTTCCTGGAGGCCCTCTTGGGAGCCTCTTGGGCCATCTTGGGCCAGCTTCGAGCCAACTTCGGCCATCTTGGTTGGTTCCTGGCACGTCTGACGCCATCTGAGCCGTCTTGGGGGCCTTTCTGGGCCGACTTGGGGCCGTCTTGGAGGCCATCTTGGGCGTGTTGGAGGCCTCTTGGGCCGTCTTGGGGCCCTCTTGGCGCCGTCTTGAGAGCCTCTTGGGCCGTCATGGGACCATCTTGAAGGCCTCTTGGGCGATCTTGCGGCGACCTTTGGGTCCTCTTGGGCCGTCTTGGGTCGTCGGAAAGTTGAAAAGGCGCAAATGCAAACATCCTTCAAAAACCGATGGAACATAAATAATTTTGGCCTCTTCGGGCCTTCCTGGAGGACCTCTGGGAGGCCTCCTGGGCCGTCTTGGAGGCCTCTTGGGAGCCTCTTGGGTCGTTTGGGCCATCTTGAGGCCATCTTAGGCCGTCTTGGGTGCATCTTGGGCCATCTTGGAGGCATCTTGGGGCCATCTTATCTGTCTTGGAGGCCATCTTGGCCGTCTTGGAGGCCATCTTAGGCCATCTTGGTGCCGTCTGGAACGGAAAAACCCTTTGCAACCACTTCTGGGCAATCCTTCCAGGTGGCCGGCGGGACGGGCCGACGCCCCAGGGGGAGTTCTTTTGGAAAAAGAACCAAAACCAAAAGCCATATAGTTTGGCACGCCAGGCACCCCTTTGATGAATCAAAAGGGGGCGGCGGATTGAATGGCCTTCGGCCCATCTCGCCACCGTGCCTCGGCTGTGGGTCAGAGTTTCTCAGGGATGCTTCGTCTACGGGATGCTTCTCGGAGGCCTTTTGGGGGCAGCTCGGGGGCCTCTTGGGAGACTCTTGGGGGCCTCTCGGGGCCTCTTGAGGCCCCTTGGGGCCTCTTGGGGGCCTCTTGGGGGCCTCTTGGGGCCTCCCGGGGGGCTCTCGGGGCCGAGGGCCTGAAATGTCCGTTCGGGTTCCCCACCTGGGCCTAACCGCGACAAGGCCCGATAGATTTGGCAATTTGGATTCTGGGCCCCTCAAACCTCAAACCTCAAAGGCTCCGCAGGAGTGAGGACTAAGGTTTAGCGGACTTGAGAAAAGGACTTGCTTAGATGATTGGGCAAAGGACCGTGCCCAGCGGCACGGTGACGGAGTATTTTTGCTATCGGATTATTGCTTGTTTTCGCGTTTTGTGCCCAGGCGCTCTTCGGGGCCAGGGGGCGGGTCTTAGATTAAGGCCAGCAAATACGCAACGAACGTGTTTTCCTACATGATGGTGAGGACTGGGTCGTTTTCAAGACCAGTAGATGTGCGCCGGATGTATTTGTTGAAAAGGATGGCGAGGGGCGGGCCGATGTACATATCAGCAGACGCGCGCCGCGTTGTTTTAGCTTCCGTCGGATGGTGAGGGCCGAGCGGACGTGACATTTCCACCGACTTGTTTTGTTTTCAGAGGATGAGGGGTGGTCGCGGCCTGGGCCAGTCCTGGACCAGCCGGAACAGGGAATGGGGGGTATATGATTATAGGATTAGGGGTTGAACGTGTCACGGCTTAGGTTCGAGGGCGCGTGGAGCAGATTCATGGTGAGTGGATTAGGGTAAAGCGTTGTGGATTTGGGTTCAGGTGTGCATGGATTAGGGATTAGGGGTGTGGGCTAGAATTTAGGACGGCGGTTTAGGGTTGAGCGTCGCCGGTTAGGTTTCAGGGTTGGGGTCTTAAGCCTTGAGCCCTAACGTTTCCTCGCGATCCATCTCCGCCACAATCCATGTCTTCCCTGAACCCATCTTCACGCCGATGCGCGTCGCCATGGCCATGCTCATCCTCACCCTCACTTCACAATTATGCCCACCCAGGTCTGCATCCTCATCCCTGCCCTCATTAGCAGTCTCTCGCTCCGTCCCCAGTTTGATATTTATCCCCGTCCCCATGGACGTCCCCGCATCCACATCAGCCCTCCTCCTCGTCCCCAGCTCAATCATCATCCTCACTTTCGTCCCCCATCTTTAACATTATCTGCATGACCAGCCTTGGTGTGATCATCATGCTTCCCCTGCACATCGTTTGCCGTGGGTTCCAACTTACGTCGCATCGCTTCTATGTCTCCCGTGGCCCAAGCAAGGACACCCGTAGCTCCGATCAACATTCCGATCTTTAGAACATGCCATGGCTAGTTACAGTCACACCCCATGACAAGGCACGTCCTATGTTTCGTCAGGGTGCCCTTTGGTTTCTTTGACTTGTGTTCGACGTTGAAGGTGGTCGAAACGTTTAGAAATTGCAAATGACAGGACACCCTGGGTTTTTTGGGCGTCCGTGTGTTGCGTTTCTTGGTGCCAACCTGTTTTTTTTACGCAAGCGATCAAGAAACCGCTCGGGTCAAGGTACCCCAGGTTCCTTCGTTTGCAGCCGATGTGCAAGGGACCAAACCGTGGACCAAGAAGTTTCGGTGGATTTCAGGGTTGGGTTTTTGTATGGTGGGTTCCTTGTGGGTCAGCACCCCATGTACTTTCACGATTCCGACAAACCCCGTGGATATTGATGACCCCCGAAGTTTGCTCCGTAGTTTGCATTGGGAGTGAAAGTGCCGATGGCATCCGAGACGAAACCTTGCAATCTTGTTATTGTCGGCCTGCAGGCAGGGATACACAAACCCGACACACGTCACAGTAAAGTCTGACGCCATCGGTGTTTGGTTATCCGAGCCAGGTCTCGTGCCCAAAGAAAATTCAAGCATGTCTGTACACAAGTGGTGTTTCGCAAGACACAGACTTGTGGACACCTAGAAAACGGTAGTTTCCAACATTGTGCATTATGTTACTCCCAAGCATAAATTTGGACATTTGGCATTACGCTGGACACTCAAAGGAGTCGTGCATTAGTCCCAAATGAGTCAGAGTGCTGCCGCTAACACGGATACCTCAACAAGTTGGACGCGCCAGCTATGGTTCTCGGACGCGGAGTGTTGGGACATTGCGCACGCCGCCCCGACGACAACGCCATTATTCTCTTGCACCGCTGTGTTCCAGAGCTCCGAGCCCTCTATTGTCGTCGTCGTTCGTGCGTTCGCTCGTCGCCCACCCCGGGCATCCCATGGTCATGCGTGCCATCTGTTTTGGGACGCGCAGATAGTTGGACGCGCTGCGCTCCCCATTGGCCGCGAGCGCCCCGTGTCGGCGTCGAACCCCGGAGGGGGGGGGAGTGACCGCCTCAGAAGGCTCGGAAGTCCCCCGGCCTTCTGAGAAGCCCTGCCGCCTTCTGACAAGGCTGCCTCTGTCTCGCCCTGAGATCCGATGCAAAAAAATGCATCATCGCAAACAACACGACCTGGCCCCTGGATCTCATTTTCCTGCGTCATCTTTTGAGCCGGATCGATTTGTGAGGACCCTGGGGCCCGAATGTGAGCGAAAACGTCCGGCTCGAAACAATTGAGACGCCAGGATCTCAGGATTCTCATTTCCCTCGCCTGCGCGCTCCCGACGATGACCAGCGACGACGACGATGACGACGACGGCGACGACGACCAAGGACGATCACGATCGACGACGACCTACGACGATCACGATCGACGACGACTCACGACGAAGCTTCCGTCGTTGCCGTCGTCGACGTTCTCCTCCTGCCTCTCCCTCATCCGCCTATTCATCCTCGGCCCCCTTCCTCTTCTGGCCTGCGGCTCCCCCCCTCGCTCGCCGCCGACTCCGGCCGCGCTGGCGCGCGCCCGAGCAGGCGGGATGCCAGTGGCGCTCCCTGTTCCGGCGCCGCTTCCTGCGCCAGCAGGCGGCCTCGCCCGCGAGCCGCCCGCGCGGGGGCGCGGGGGCCCTCTGCGCCGCGCTGACGCGGCAGCGACCCCAGCACGGGCGTTCGAGGTTGCAGGATGGCGGCGCGACCCGTTTCTGAGAAGTCCCGCCGCCTTCTGAGAAGGCCTTCTCCTCCTCGCTCCCCCCCTCGCTCGCCGCCGATGTCGCGCATCCTCGTTGTCAGTTTTTGCCGAACCCTTGCGGCAGCGGTCAGGAGCCCAGTGGCCGCGGACCGGGCCAACAAAAGCCACACCTCGTCGGATGCCTGGGGCGCCAGCCCCCCGGCCACGGGAGGGGCCAATTCACGGTACAGTCGGACCGAGGTGCAAGATCGAGCTCGGTCAGGGGCAGGTGCCCTGTTATTCTTCGTGGAAGGTGCCCTGTTATTCTTCGTGCTTGTTGGATGTTCTTGTGCATCCTGGAGAGAGTACCCTGGGATATTCCGTGTGTTTTGGCCGACGGAGGGTCTCATATTCTTGAAGGATGTTCTTCCAGCCCAGGTCCGGCCGTACGCTCGAAATGATAGCCGCGCCCCGCCCTCACAGGCCCTGAGATCCGACGTCGCGGCGAAAAGCTGCAAGAGATCAACAAATGAGCTCGGCTGGAGCCCTTCGCATCGCTCGGACGTGTGCATTTTTTTTCTCGGCGAGAACCATCGAGGACCATCTTGGACCATCGAGCAAAAAACACACGCACGAAATCGAAAAATGCACAGGAAATGGACGTCCGAGCGACGGCAAGAGCCCTGGACCCAACCTTCCTGCTGCGTTTTTCTAGCCGGATCCCCGGCGCCGACGCAACGCAAGGCCTCGCCCGTTGTGGGAAAGTATGCGACGCCAGGACCTCAGGGGAGCAGACTCTGCGCGAGAGCGCTCCCGACGCAGAGGCCAGAGTTCTGGTCCTTCCGAGGAGGGGATGTATCCATAGCCACCTCCTGGGGGATCGATCCTCGGGGACCTCGGGAGGTGGTGCATATGGATCTGCTCGGCCACCCTGGGGCATGTATATATATATATATATATATATATATATATTGGAGTAGGGCCCCAGGGCGGTGCCTGCCTGTCATCTCCATGGGGTGTGCAGGGCGCCCCCGGGAGCGTCCGAAGCGTCCCGGAGGGCCCCTGGGACCGCCAGGAACAGGTCGAGACCGCCCAAGACGGCCCGCGAGCGCTCCAAGACGCGCATACATAGCCTCAGGAATTGCCAGGAAGGCCCGAAAACGTTCCAAGAGAGCTCCATGAGGCCCCGAAGGCATCCCAAGAGGCCTCCCAAGAGAGCCCCGACAAGCCAAAATCGTAGATTTTTATTGTTTTTTTGAAGGTTTTTGGCCTTCTCGCTTTTTCGGAGTTCCGACGCTCCAAGACCGTCCAAGAGTCTCCCAAAACCGCTCCAAGACGGCCGAAGAGGCCCCCAAGACGGCCCCAAGACGGCCCAAGAGACCCCCAAAATCGTACCAAGACGGCCCAGGAGAGCCCCAAGATGGCCCAGGAGCCGCCCAAGACGGTTCCAGGAGAGCCCGACAGGGCTTCAAGACTGCCTAAGCGAGCCCAGCGGTCCCCAAGAGGGCCCCGCGAGACCCCAAGAGGCCCCAAAGAGGCCCCCAGGAGCCTCCCCGGAGGCCCCCAGAGGCCCCCAAGATGCCCAAAAATGGCCCTGAGCGCGCCCCAAGGCGCCTCCAGGAGAGCCCAACATGCCTCCGAGAGGCCCCCAGGAGGCCCACTGGAGGCCCTCAGGAGGTCGTCCCCATCATGTTCCCAGAAGGCGGTCCGGGAACATGATTCCGCGCCTTGGAGGAGTATTCTGCGCCTTCCAAGGCGCCTTCCGAGGCGCCTTGGACGACGTACGTATGTTTCTATAGATTGTCCATCTCCTGTGTACACAATCCTACATGTCTTACGTATGCTTCTCTCTCTCTCTCTATATATATATATATATACATGAAAATGTGTATATAGACATGTGTATATACAGATATACCCCTCCCCCAAGCCCTCCCGAGTCGTGCCACTTCCTCCCACGTATTTCAATGTTTTCCTTATACATATATACATATACATATATACATATGTACATATATATACACACTATGTGTATGTACACATATATATATCTATATACACACGCGCCCCAAGACGCCTCCAGGAGAGCCCAACAGGCCTCCGAGAGGCCCCCAAGAGGCCCATTGGAGGCCCTCAGGAGGTCGTCCCCATCATGTTCCCGGAAGGCGGTCCGGGAACATGATTCCGCGCCTTGGAGAAATATTCTGCGCTTTCCGAGGCGCCTTCCGAGGCGCCTTAGACGACGTACGTATGTTTCTATCGATTGTCCTTCTCCTGTGTACACAATCCTACATGTCTTACGTATGTTTATATATAAAAGGCCCACTGGAGGCCCTCTGGAGGTCGTCCCCATCATGTTCCCGGAAGGCGGTCCGGGAACATGATTCCGCGCCTTGGAGGAGTATTCTGCGCTTTCCGAGGCGCCTTCCGAGGCGCATTGGACGACGTACGTATGTTTCCATAGATTGTCCTTCTCCTGTGTGCACAATCCTACATGTCTTACGTATGTTTATATATATATATATATGTGTGTGTGTGTGTGTGAATGTGTGTATGTATGTATATGTATATATATATATATATGTACCCCTCCCTCCAGCCCTCCCGAGTCGTGCCACTTCCTTCCACGTATTTCAATGTCTTCCGTATCTATCTATCTATCTATCTATCTATCTATCTATATATGCATACATACATACGTATATACATATATATATATATATTGTGAGATGACCCGTATCGTCTTAGCTCTGTGCGAAGTGTACTCACGGGTGGCCGTTCGGAGGACAGAGGTCCGAGTGCTTGCAAACGCCCCTCCACTTTGGGCGTTCCTCTCTCCCCCCGTCCTCCTCCGTCTCCGTCGGGGCTCCAAGGCTTGAGGCACGTGCGCGAGCGCCCGTGGCGGATGGCAGGGGCTCTCTGGGTGCCTGGGCTGCAGGCGGCAACGCAGGTGACACAGGCGTACCTGCTCCGCTGCCCGCCACCGCCGCCGTGCCCGCAGGCGAACTGTCCGACGGTCGCGCTGCCGCCGTGCCCGCAGCCCGTGCCGTGCCCCCCTTGTCCGGCGTGCCACGCCAGCCAGTGCCCAGCAGCTCCAGAGGCCGCGGGGGGCTGCGACGCCTGGAGCTCGGGCGGCCTGCTCCTCTTCGTCCTCGGCGTCCTGGCAGGCGCTGGTGTGACCGGGGTGTTCACCGCGATCCTCCTGTGCTGCGGGCGCCTCGGGAGGTCGGTCACCGGCCGTGGAGGCGATGACGGGCCACGTGGAGAGACACCAGGTGGCCTGGCTGCGCTACCGAGTAGCCGGGCCCGCTCTGTACCATCAAAGATTGCTCTTGAAGCAGCTCCGATCGTCCGTTGACAGCTGGGTAGTGCTGACGCCCGACGGCGACATGTACGTAGAGGATCTTGAGGTGAGTGACGACATCCGGGAGGTGCTCTACGAGAACATTCCTGGCGTGGAGTCCGCGCAGGTGCGAGGCTGCGGCTACAGGTTCGGCGCGATGCCCTCGGCCGACGGCCTGAGGAGGCTGGCGCAGCAGGCGGAGTCGTTGCGGGACCAGGAGGACGCCGTGCGGGGGTACCGGGCCCCGGCGGAGGGAGCCGGCAGCCAGGGCGGCTTTGAGCCTGTGGGAGGCACGGAGACCCCGCGGGGTGCGCCAGGTCTGCCGCCGCCGCTCCCGCCGCCTTTGGAGGCTCCGGGGCCCCCGGGACGCTGGGTCATTGCCATCGACACCGGCGAGGGCAAGGTGGGCGACTCCATCACCGTTGCTGACGTGTCGCGGGCGTCGGGAGACACACGCATTGGCGTGGCTCAGGTGTCGAACGGGGCCTGGGTGTTCGTGGAGCGGCACGGAGAGACTAAGGAGGAGTACCTCAGCCGGACTGCCAGGCGTCGTGGAGCTGGTGACGGCAGCCTTGATGCGCGCGTGCTGCCGGTGACCTACAACTCCTCGAGCGTGCGCCAGCGCCCCTGGAGAGAGACGGTGGCGAAGATGTCTCAGGTCACGTTCTCGGACTGGCCGCTGCCGGGGCCACGCACCGTTGACTGGTGTGCGCGCTTCGTGGATCGCAGGGGGGGCGGCCCGGTCGACCACCGCCGCTGGTGGGTCGGCCACCTTCGCCTGCAGAGCTCGGACTTCGGGGTGCAGGAGCACGAGCACGGCATGCGAGCGTTCCAGTTTTTTGGGGAGTACGACCAGGTCGACCTCCCAAACCTGGTGGGCTTGGAGGTCACACTCCGTCGGTGCCATCTCATCGAGTACCATTACGAGAAGAAGGGCAAGGCAGCCACTGGCAAGGAGCAGGGGGCTGGGCTGTCACGCGAGGAGGCGGCCTACTTCACGGGCTCGCACAGGCTCGGGGGTGAGGTGATGATCTGCCCCGAGTTGATAGAGTGGGTTTCAAAGGAGATCGAGAAGGACGCCAGCGTGGCGAAGCAGATGCGAAAAGCGCGGGAGGAGGCGCGCCTCTCGCGCAAGGATGGCTAAGCTAGCGCGAGGGCGGCAGGATGACCCCGACCTGTCCGCCCGCCTGCCGCAGGGGGAGCGCCAGCGACTTCAGCAAGCTGGCGCGGCTTTTGGTCAGCGCGATGCTTTACCTCTCCATGCTGAAGGGTTCCTGGGGCGTCCAGAGCCCAAGGACTTCAACGTCAGCCGGAAGGTCAGGCGCCGCCTCGAGGCCCGCTCGCACGCCGACCAGTGGTGCGCGGACGTCGCACGCTCGTTGAATGAGATAGGAGGGCACCTGTGCAAGGACACGGACGCCTGCCGCTCCAGCCGCTTCCGGCCGCGTGTGCACGACCTCGGCATGGCCCGCGTGAGGGCCAGTGTCGAGCGGTGTGGGCGGCCGCCCGCCGACCTCACCTGCCAGGGGGCCTTTGATGAGCTCCGGGCCAACCACAGCTACGAGGGTGCGCCTGCGGCTGTGGCGCCGATGGACATAGGCTTGCTCAGCCTGAGCGGGGCCGGCGCTCTTGCCGACCTGGCCCAGTTGCTGCGTGATGGCCGCTCTGAGGTCCGCGGTTTTGTAAAAGATTTTCTCCTGCCAAAGGATCAGGCAGACGTGCGTCTCGGCCTCGAGGGAGTGCCACGCCGTCCATACTCTGATCCTCTGCTGCACCGGCCTCGAGAGCACGAGCGTCTCTTGGCAGTCATGTCAAGCAAAGGAATGATCGAGTATTTTCTCGACGTGGTCGAGACTTGCGGACTTTTTAGTGTTTGGAAAAAGAGCGGGAAGCAGAGACTCATCATTGATGCCCGCCGATCGAGTTGTTGGTTCAAGGACCCCCCAAAGACCCGTCTGGCCTCAGGGGGCTCTTTTGCTCGTCTTTCTGCTGCCGCCGATCTCACTCTCGAGCTCGGTCAGACTGACATACAGGATGCCTTCTATCAGCTTGCTATGCCGGTCGAGCTCCGCCCGTACTTTGGTCTGGCGCCCGTTCGAGCCGGCCGTGTAGGGGTGTCTGTCACTGTCGAGGGATCCCAGGTCTCACCCAGCACGCTTGTCTACCCACGCCTCTGTGTCTTGGCGATGGGGTGGACCCGCGCCCTGAATTGGCGCCAGCGGGTGCTTGAAGACATCAGCTCCCGGGTCCCAGGTCTTGGGATGGAGTCCAGGATCCAGGATCGCCGTCGCCTTCCCTCGCTCTCCCCTGTCGCTCACTCCGAATACGTCGACAACTTTGTTGCCCTCTCCCAGGTCCCGGGAAACGCCCGAGCTGCGGCCCACGGTGTGGCCGAAGAGCTGCGCCTCGCCGGGTTGCGTGCTCACCCTGTCGAAGCGGGACCGGGGGGGGAGGCTCTAGGTTGGTTTTTCTCGAGGGAGCGGCCGGTGGTGTGTGCTAAAGAGCGACGTGTCTGGAGGATCCGTCTGGCCCTGCAGTGTGCCCTTAGGCGCCCCAAGCTCTCTGGGAAGGATCTGGAGGTCCTCGCGGGGCACTGCGCGCACGCCTTCCTCATGCGTCGTGAGTTGCTGTGCTGCTTCAACGCTGTGTACGCCTTCATCGCAAAGCATCGACACGAGCGGGTGCCCCTGTGGGAAGTGGTACGTAAAGAGCTCCGATGGGCCTCCCACTTGGTTTGCTTCTTTTGGCGTGACCTGTCGGCTTCTGTCTGCCCCGTGGCGGTGTCGAGCGACGCGTCGGAGCGGGGGCGCGGGGTCACCGTCTTGGAGGGGGACAAGGGCGACATCGTAGAGGCTATGAAGTACTCGGACAGGTGGCGCATTCGTGATGGCTCCGGAGGGGCCCGCGCACAGGCCGCTGAGCTGATCGAGGAGGCCCTGGCGGGCCACCGCGTCCCTGGAGAACGTGATGAAGGAGCTCAGCCGGGCGCCGTCGCGGACGGCGAGGCGGACTGGGGCCCCGAAGGAGGTGATCGAGTCCCACTGGTCCCCGAGAGGCTCCTCAAAGGGAAGTGGTCTGTGTTGTGCTCTCGCCCTTGGAAGCGCCCCGAAGGCATGCCCGTCCTCGAGACCCGGTCGACGCTCTGGGGGCTGCGACACCAACTTCGTAACACACGGTGGTGGGGTCGAAGGCTCCTCTTCCTGTCCGACTCGATGTCCGCCACCCCGGCTCTGTCGAAGGGCCGGAGCTCGGCCCCAGGCATGCTGAGAGCGGTGCGGGCATGGGCGTCGTCGCTGCTGGTGTCGGGCTGCTTTGCAACCGTCCGCTGGATCCCTAGCGAGCTCAACTCGGCAGACGCTCCCTCGAGGCGTGGGCTCGCCCTCGGCTCCAGGGGGCGGCGATCGCGAGGGGCCAATCCTGGCCCGCGAGGCGCGGCCGCTGCCGGCCCAGGCGCCGCCCCCGAGCGCCCTCTCGGCCGACGGGGCTCTGCCGCAGCGCGTGGCGGCGCCGCCGCGGGCGCGAGGGCCGGCGCGGAGTGGCCGGGCGGAGGGCCCGGCCGCCGCCCCCGCCTCTCCGCGCCGCGCGGGGATGCCCGCGATGACGCCCGCGAGGCGGGCCCGCCGCAGCGCGGCCAAGGCCCCGGCCGCGCGGACGCCCGCCCGCAGGCGCTGGGCAGGGAGCAGGGCGCCGGCGGCCGTCAACCGCATGAGCTTCTGGCTGCCGGAGAGTGTCAAGCCGCGGACGTGAGTGCTGTACCCGACGAGCTGGGACTTCCTCGCGGACTGGGCCCGGGAGCGAAGCTACCGACCGTGACGGAGGACGAGCTCGAGACGGCCGTGCTGGACTACCTCGGCTGGGAGTACTTCGAGGGGGTCCACTCAAGTTTAGGGAGCCGCCTGGTCTGTGCCGCGTGCTACCTGCGCCCGGAGCTCAGCCGCCAGCGCGACGCGAGGCGGGCCCGCGTCCGGTCGGCCCTGCGGGTCTGGAGCCTGCGGTCGCCGAGCCAGTCGCGCCTGCCGACCCTGTGGGAGGTGGTTTGCCTGATCGTGGACCTCCTGGTGCGGAAGGGCCAGTGGGACAGGGCCGCGCTGATCGCGGTGCGCGTGGTCTTCTACCTGCGGCCCAGCGAGCTCCTGGACCTGAGGACCTGCCAGCTGGGGCTGCCGCTGGCCGCCAGCCAGTCGCTCCGGCAGCGCGTGACCCTGGCGTTGCACCCGATGGAGCTCGGGCAGCCGTCCAAGGAGCTGGGCATGGAGGTGCTGGGCTCGCCAACCCTCCACGGCCTTCGGCGCGCAGAGGCGTGCCTGGGCTGCGCGCTGGGTCGCCGCACGATGCTCGAGATCCAGCACCGCGGGAACTGGGCGGCCGCCACCCGGCGGCTGGCCGAGCAGCTTCACCTGCCCGCCCCAGGTGCGCGTCTAGCCGCGCGCCGATGCGCCGCGCGGATTGGCAGCATCCTGGCCGAGCGCTCGCCTTCCTAAAGGCGAACCTGCTGTCGGTCAGCTTCGCCCTCGAGATCTTCGCTGGCAGTGGCCACTTCTCCCAGGCGTGGCGCCAGCTGCTCGGCACCCCCATCGTCGAGTTCGACCTGAAGCACGGGGACCAGTACGATGCAACGATGCCGAAGATTCAGAAGCGCATTCGTGGCTGGATCATGTGCGGCCACGTCGTGGCCGTGTGGATGGGCACCCCGTGCTCTAGCTTCTCGCGGGCTCGTGATAGGCCCAATGGTCCTCCACGGCTACGTAGCGAGGACTTCCAAACCTCAGGGGCGTTGATCAGCTCAAAGTGGACGTCGGCAATGCCCTCTTAAAGTTTTCGCGTTCTGTACTTCGGCTGTGCTCTCGACTTGTGATTCCAGCGGCGCTTGAGAACCCAGCCACGAGCCGATTGTGGATATGCCCTCCGATGGAGCACATCCTCTCGTTAAAGACGGCCTCGATCTACAGGACCGACTTCTGCATGTTCAATCGTCCTTGGAGAAAAAGAACCCAATTCATCATCTCTGTCCACGTTGACCTCTCAGCTGCTGAGCGAAAATGCCTGGGTCGAGGGTTTTGTTCAAGAACCGGCCTGCCACACGTAGAGTTGGCGGGAAAAGTGAACGGCGTCTTTCGTATTCACATCGCTGAGCCGTATCCGCCTGCCCTCTGTAAGCTTTTAGCCTTGTGTTTTAAAAGCGCCCTGGCCGCTCGCTCGATAGCTGGTTTTAGCAGTGTATGTGTTGATAGCCCCTGCCTCCAGTATTAAATGTCGGCAATTTGGAAATTCAAGTGCCTCTAAGACCGGTCTTCTTCAGTCAGTTATATGAGTCTCTGGATTCCTGCACAAGCAGGGCAGTGCAGTCACCACGACAAGTTGCCTCTGGCCGAAGTGAAAAAAGGAGCTCAGAGCTTGTGAGATGACCCGTATCGTCTTAGCTCTGTGCGAAGTGTACTCACGGGTGGCCGTTCGGAGGACAGAGGTCCGAGTGCTTGCAAACGCCCCTCCACTTTGGGCGTTCCTCTCTCCCTCCGTCCTCCTCCGTCCTCCTCCGTCTCCGTCGGGGCTCCAAGGCTCCCGCCGCGCCCTCCTTGCTTATGATCCCCTGACTTTGATGGGAATTCAAGTGCCTCTAAGACCGGTCTTCTTCAGTCAGTTATATGAGTCTCTGGATTCCTGCACAAGCAGGGCAGTGCAGTCACCACGACAAGTTGCTTCTGGCCGAAGTGAATAAAGGAGATCAGAGCTATATATATGTATGTATATATGCAGATATATTTATATATGTATACATGTGTATATATGTACATATGTATATGTATATGTATATGTATATGTATATGTATATGTATATGTGTATATATATACATATATATATAGGCCGTCCAAGAGTCTCCCAAAACCGCCCCAAGACGGCCGAAGAGGTCCCCAAGACCGCCCCAAGACTGCCCAAGAGACCCCAAAACTCGTCCCAAGACGGCCCAGGAGAGCCCCAAAATGGCCCAGGAACCGCCCAAAACGGTTCCAGGAGAGTCCCGACAGGGCTTCAAAACTGCCTAAGCGAGCCCAGCGGGCCCCAAGAGGGCCCCGCGAGGCCCCAAGAGGCCCCAAAGAGGCCCCCAAGAGCCTCCCTGGAGGCCCCCGAGAGGCCCCCAAGATGCCCACAAATGGCCCTGAGCGCGCCCCAAGACGTTTCCAGGAGAGCCCCACAGGCCTCCGAGAGGCCCCCAAGAGGCCCACTGGAGGCCCTCAGGAGGTCGTTCCCATCATGTTCCCGGAAGGCGGTCCGGGAACATGATTCCGCGCCTTGGAAGAGTATTCGGCGCCTTCCGAGGCGCCTTGGACGACGTGCGTATGTTTCTATAGATTGTCCTTCTCTTGTGTACACAATCCAACATGTCTTACGTATGCTTCCACACACACACATACATACATACATATATATATATATATATACATACATACATACACATATATACATATATATATACACACATATATATATGTGTATAAATATATATATGTATAGATGTACATATATATATACACACATACATATCGGAGTGGGGCCCGGGGGCGGCCCGGGGCGGTGCCTGTAATCTCCATGGGGGGTGCAGGGCGCCCCCGGGAGCGTGCGAAGCGTCCCGGAGGGCCCCTGGGACCGCCAGGAACAGATCGAGACCGCCGAAAACGGCCCGCGAGCGCTCCAAGACGCGTATAGATAGCCTCAGGAATGGCCAGGAAGGCCCGAAGACGTTCCAAGAGAGCTCCATGAGGCCCCGAAGGCATCCCAAGAGGCCTCCCAAGAGAGCCGCGACAAACCAAACTCGCTGATTTTTATTGTTATTTTTCGAGGCTTTGGGCCTTCTCGCTTTTTCAGGGTTCCGCCGCTCCAAGACCGTCCAAGAGTCTCCCAAAACCGCTCCAAGACGGCCGAAGAGGTCCCCAAGACCGCCCCAAGACGGCCCAAGAGACCCCAAAAATCGTCCCAAGACGGCCCAGGAGAGCCCCAAGATGGCCTAGGAGCCGCCCAAGACGGTTCCAGGAGAGCCCCGACAGGGCTTCAAGACTGCCTAAGCGAGCCCAGCGGGCCCCAAGAGGGCCCCGCGAGGCCCCAAGAGGCCCCAAAGAGGCCCCCAAGAGCCTCCCTGGAGGCCCCCGAGAGGCCCCCAAGATGCCCACAAATGGCCCTGAGCGCGCCCCAAGACGCCTCCAGGAGAGCCCAACAGGCCTCCGAGAGGCCCCCAAGAGGCCCACTGGAGGCCCTCAGGAGGCCCGGAAAGGGGGTCCGGGAACATGATTCCGCGCCTTGGAGGAGTATTCTGCGCCTTCCGAGGCGCCTTGGACGAAGTACGACGCCCCGGCTTGAGCGCGCGGGACGGGCCTGCCCATTTTGGGCCGCCCCGCGCGCGCACGCCGCGGCCGCGCTCGGAGACAGCTCGCTAGCGCGCGAGCGGGAGAATTCATATTCTTGAACGCTTTCCGGGAACATGATTTCTCACCATGTCGGAACGCTTTCCTACTGCTGCGGTGCTCTGGGGGGAAGGGACGGGGGGCCGGGAACATGATCGGGAGGTTAGGGAACGAGGGTTTGGAGAGGAGCAGTAGGACAGACGGACGGGGCCCGGGGGCGGGGGTGGGGTGGTGCCACCGGTTGGCATGGCCGCCCCGGGCGTCCTGTGGGGTCCACGAACCCGCCCAAGA